GCTCTGAAAACTCCGACACCTTGGGATCCAACGCCCTAAGGCCTTGCTAGAGAGGCTTCTTATGGTGACTTGGGGTAGAACAGACATATGTTGGGATCGTTTGATCTAGGGGTTTTTATGGTCAGAAGAGGGCTTTCGGGCGTAGTAAGTGTAGTATACGACAACTACTTGTAACGGGGAGCACCTTAGAGCCATTCCCGACAAGGGCCCCAAAGCGTCCTCGCAGGTCTTAGTCGGAGGCTCCTCAGCCGGAGGCTCGGGGGACGTGGGTCGGAAATCCGCCCCGACGTCTTCGACCTGCTCGAAGCTCGATGCCTGTCCGTTGGTCTCAGGTTTAGCGCTTAGCGTTTGGGGCGTGGCTGTGGGCTCTAGAGTGTTTTGAAGGGGCTTCCTAGCGTTTCATTGGGGCTTACAGCCATCGCTGAAGGCTTTTGAAACTAATGTCCACACGGGGAAGCCCACACATACAATCATCAAAACCTTGATGCAATACAGCACGTTACACGGGGACTCCAGGAGGAGATGGGCCCGATAAGGGTTCACCAGCGATGGAGTCTTGCAAGACTTCATCTAAACTGTGAATCCTAAACCCCAAAGGCTACAATCTCCTCCCTGCTGAACAACTCGTCCTACTATTCCTTGCCTTACTAGACGCGTAGTAGAGCAATAAACCGGCCTTTTCCTATCAATGAAGCTCCTACGTTGGGCCACTTGGAGCCTAAGTCCTGAAGCCTTGGCTTGCGGTGTTTTACTTCCGGTGTGGGGGCTGGGATGCTTGTTAGAGGCAGGCTCGCTGCAACTTTCACGGCTGAGGGTGTAGCTGATTTGGGGATTCCGGATATTCAGGATTTCGTCTTTACGTTGACCATCGGCAAGGTGTCCAACAGTTGGCAGTAGCTCTCTATAGCGACCGTTGCAAAAGCCCTTGAAGGGCCCTGCAGCGCGCCTCTTCTGGCGAGGCGGCAGACGCCGAGTCCTCCCTCGCAGATCCGTCCTCCATGGGTGTCCAGAGTAGGCTTCCGAACTTTCCGTTGAGGGTCTTAGAAATCTTCGATCCCAAAGTTTAGAGGCCTCAACCCATATCACTAAACCCTAAGACTTACCCTAAGTCTAAGCCCAAATATTTCAAACTTCATGGATTTTGGGGTTGAGGTTCTTAATCCTCGGGGGTTTAGGGATCAGGGTCTTGGGGTTCGGGCTTTATGTCTGAGGGTCGAAAGGATAGTTTAGGCTTCGGGGTTCAGGCTTCTAGGGATCACGGTTCAGAGCTCGTTGAGGGTCTCCCTCACAGTCAAAGCTGCTACGTCTGGATGGCCATGTACAGCTTCATACAAAAACCTCAGCGCCCACAACCTAAAGCCTAAAGCCTTGAAGCCTACACCCAAACCCTAAAGGCCCTAAACCCTTGAAGCCTACAGGGTCCCACATGTATGGGATCATGTCTGAAGCCTCCCGTTGCGGGAGCTCCTTGGATGACGTAGCAGCGAAACCCTCAGGCCTGCAGTCCCAGAGCTCTGAAAACTCCGACACCTTGGGACCCAACGCCCTAAGGCCTTGCTAGAGAGGCTTCTTATGGTGACTTGGGGTAGAATAGACATATGTTGGGATCATCTGATCTAGGAGGCTTTATGGTGAGAACAGGGCTTTGGGGTGCAGTATACGACAATCACTTGTAACAGGGAGCACCTTAGAGCCATTCCCGACAAGGGCCCCAAACTGTCGATGGAGGCCTCAGCCGGAGGCTCGGGAGACGTGGGTCGGAAATCGGCCCCGACCTCTTCGACCTGCTTGGGGTTTGGGGTTTTGAGGGTGGGCTTGTAGGAATTGTAGGAACAGTGGTGTCAATAGTAGCAATAGTGGCATTAGTAGTAATAGTAGTACAGTAGTACTAGTAGTGTTGCTTGGAGTTCCATGCTTCTACAATAGGTTCTACAATGTTCCAGAGCTACCATGGCTCGCAACACGAGTTGAGGCGCCGGTAGTCACTGTAGCCTTTCTTTTGCATGGCTTCAAGCGGTCGTACTTGCGAATAGCCCTTAGTCATGTGATGATGAGGTTTAAGGGTCTTCGGGTGCTGGTGTTCAGGATCTGATCCCTCCAAAGCCCAAAGTACTCAAACCAGAACCCTTCTGATACGTAAAACCCCTAACCCTCAACCCCAAACACTGAACCCTTTACCCCGAAACCTAAGCCATAGTTCCTAAGTCCTCAAAAGCACAAACTCCTAACCTTTGGCCTTTGCAGGTCCGTTGCTTGTAGATTCGGTGGTAGACAGAAGCAAGGTTACAATTACCCCAAACAGCGGTCACAATTAATCACACCTGTAGAATTTCTAGAAGAAGTAGGGGTCTATAGGGGTCTAAGAAGCTCTCAATCTCAACTTGTATCTACTACTCTGCTGACCCTAGCTACTAAGTCCCTTCATCCTCCACGCTGTGTGCCTGAGCGGGCGGTGGTCGGGCAGCAGCCGTGAGCTGCTCCGACAAGTCTTGCGCCTCGCAGAATGGAGGCTTTTGGCTTTCTGATTTTCCTTTGACGGGTTCGGCGCATGGTCTCTAGGGCTCTAGGGTGTTTTTTAAGGCTCTGTATTGTTTCATTCGATCGTTGAAGGCCTTTGATACCAGTGTCCCCAAAGGGCAACCCACATACACACGCACACAGACATTCATCAAAATCCTGATGCACACGCCACGCCATACTGGGAACGCAACAAAAGACATGTCCTAGAAAGGTTCACCAGCGTCTGTAAGGGACCGAAACCCGACGATGCAGTCTCGCAAGACTTAAGCTAAACCCTGAACCCTAAAGCCGCAACCCAAAGCCCCCAAGCCCACGCCCAAGATCTCCTCCCATCTAAGCTTGACCATCCGCAAGGTGTTCAACAGTTGGCAGTAGCTCTCTATAATGACCGTTGCAAAAGCCCTTGCAGGAACCCGAAAACCCCTGCAGCGCGCCTCTTCTTGCGGGGCGGCAGACGCCGAGTCCTCCCTCTCAGATCCGTCCTCCACGGGTGTCCAGAGTAGGCTTCCGGATTTGCCGTTGAAGGTCTTAGGAGTCTTCGATCCCGAATTCTAGAGGCCTCAACCCATATCAGTGAACTCCAAGTCTAAACCCAAATACTTTAAACTTCATGGATTTTGGGTTGAAGGCCTTAATCCTCGGGGGTTTAGGGATCAGGGGTCTTGGGGTTCGGGCTGTGTGTCCGAGCCCTAAACCCTAAGTCCAAACCAAAATACCCTGAACTTCATGGATTTGGGGGTGAGGGCCTTAGTCTTCGAGTTGGGGGCTTAGGGCGGAGGGTCGGCAGGTTCGGGCTCCATGTCTGAGGGTCGAGGGGATACTTGGAGGTTCATGGGTAGTTATAAGTGGGGTTAGAAGTAGGGTAACTATAATTATGACCCTAATTAGGGGACTTATAACCCCACTCATATCTACCCAGGATGGCCACGCCTTCATCCGAAACCTGAACACCTCAAGCCTAAACTCTTGAAGCCTACATGGTCCTACTGTCGAGGCCTAAATAACTAGAATGGTAGAATGGGCTCTTGCGCCCCTTTATAGTATATTTATAGTGAGGAGCCATAAGGAATAATATTGGCAATTATTTAGGCTTCTACATTACATGTACAGCTTAGTATCTGAAGCCGGCGGATCAGTCTCAACACCTCATCGGATCGCTTCATCGGAGCTTGAGAACCTCCCTAAACCCTAAACCCTAAATCCTACACCGACCAGCTCAGCAAGCTGCACTTGCCGTCGGCGCCAGCTGCTGTGGCGGAGGGTCCAGTGGAGTATGCAAAGCTCGCATGCCCTAAACCCTAAACCCTGTATCCTAAACCCTAAGCATACATATCCTAAACCCTAAACCCTACATCCTAAACCCTATAAGCTCTAAACCGCATGCGCCTCTACTTGGAGGTTCATGGGCAGTTAGAAGTGGGGTCATAAGTAGTAACTGTAATTAAAACCATATTAGGGGACTTATAACCCATTTATAACTGCCCATGAACCTCCAAACATTCTCACCGGGCAACAATGACGACTCTATCCAATGCCCTGTGCCCTGGCAACTGACCAGAAAAGCCATGCCATAGTTACCATAAACCCCTACACCCTAAACCC